CTTAGTCCGCGGCGCTGCTCGCCTACGGGCATACATTCAATCCTGCCCTCAATGCCTTCAAACAAGGACTAGACGGCATCCGCCACATGGTGAGCTCCAACCCATCATGGAGCCGCTGATTCCCTTCCATACAATCTCAATTGACATTGTACTTGGACTACCAGATGGAATATTCAATTCCTTCATGTCAGTGACTGACAAAGCAACCAAACGTTGCATGTTCATCCCTGGGAGATCCAATTGGGATGCTCAAGACTGGGGACATGCTCTAGACGTCAGACTAGCTGAAGGAGACTGGGGAACTCCTAGGAAAATCATCTCAGACAGAGACCCCAAGTTTACAGCTCAGATCTGGAAGACAATGTGGACAAATTGCCATGTTAAATTGGCCTACACCACTGCTTACCATGCACAAGCAGATGGGCAGTCAGAGATGACCAATCAGGTGGCAGAGATAGCGATTAGGAACTGGTTACCCAGACTACCTACCCCCTACCACTGGCATTTAGCATTGCCCTACCTACAGACTGTATTGAACTCGTCCATTCATACAGCCACTAAGACCTCTCCACATCGTCTGATGTATGGCCTGGAAGTGCCCTCGGATATGGGTCCATTGGCAGACAGAACCCAGCAGATTCTCTTCCACGAGGGTGAAAGATATGATGCCTCTATAGCAGTGGCAGAAGCGATGATGACAATGTCTCGCCACTACGATTCTTGCCACCTACCTGTCCACTTAAAGCCAGGCTCCAAGGTCATGTTAAGGCTCCACAAAGGATACAACATACCATCCACTAGAGCCTTCCCAAAGGTCTCTATTCAGTATGCAGGTCCTTTCAGGGTCAAGCGACAGGTTACACCCCTCGCGTTCGAACTAGAGCTCCCTAGTCGCATGAAAATCCATCCAGTGGTCAGTGTAGCCCATCTGGACCCAGTCAAAGGAGACTATGATCCCTTTGACAGAGAACCCATACCCCCACAGCCAGTGAGGATGGAAGATGGGAGAGATGACTCTTGGGAGATAGAGAGTCTCATTGACAGACGAGATGTCAAACAAGGACGAAAAACCATCAGAGAATACCTTGTAAGATGGAAAGGCTTTGGCCCAGAGGAAGATCTTTGGTATTCTGCAGAAGACCTCCAAAATGCCCAAGAACTCATGAAGGAGTATGACGACGCATTAGTCCACTCTAGCACTGAAGTTCAGGCAGCAGCAGCCTTACCACGTCAAGCATCATTAGCCGAACGAACGCATAATGATCTCGAAGTGTCTCTGTCGGCGTTTTTCACGAGTCATGAACCTCGAACCTATGAGTATCAGAAGTTATGATGTAACTCAGGGGTAGATGATTGGTCCTTAAACAGTGGACCCTATAGGGCTAGCCACCATACCTCATTTGGTTCATCTCACACAATTGAGAATGTCAGATACAAAACAGCTAGTGATCCATCTCTGCTAGTCTTACTACCTGTATCTCATCATTCTTCATCCCTCC